TTGACGCAGTCCATAAAGAGATTTCTGTAGCAAACAAACTTTGCTTTCGTTACCTTTACTTACAGTGCCTTGCGGCTGCTCCATGTAAATTCGCTCAGATAATTTTGCGTTTAAAAAAGCACAGGTTGCATCATAATGATGTATATTTAGTTTTAAAGTCACTGCTAACGCCAAGAGGAATCGGATTACACAGTTTCCTACTACTGGTGAAAAGGTTTCATGATAATCAATACCCAATTTTTGAGAGAAACCTTTGGCACATAGTCTACTCTTATATCTCACGGTCTTGCCATTTTCGTCTTTTTTCTTTTTATACACCCATTTACATGTAATGATATTTTGATTTTTTGGTCGTTCTACTAAGATCCAAGTTTTGTTTTTAATTAAGGATTCATACTCTCTTACCATGGCTGCTTTCCACTGTTCTGCCTCACCTGATTTCAGTGCCTGAGAGTAGGTCAATGGTTCGGTGTCATCTTGTCCCTGCGTGAGCATCGAACACTGGTAAAATTCTGGAGCTTGCCTGGGTCGATCTGGATACCTACGGTCTGAGTCATCATCTTCATCTGTGAATTCAATGGTTTCTTCGGCGTGAAGGTCACTATCACCGGGTAGCCAGTTGGGGTCTTGGATCATTGTGTTTTCTGCGTCACTCATACTCGAATCGAAAAGATATGCTAGGTCAGGGTCTAGTTCATCATCCTCTTCTTCTGCCGTCGCTCCGGTGTCTTCTTCTGCATGTTCAGCATTCTGTGTGAGGTTTTCACCTTGAGCTTCAACTTGATATTTCTGAGTGTTGTTTTGGTTGATTTGTGGAACGTTTTCTTCGATGTTGCCAATAATGGCAAAATTATCTTCACGTTTATTTCTTTTATTTTCGAGTTCGTCTTCTTTGAATTTGACGTCCCGAGAGATTGTTATTTTGCGTTTCACTGGATCCCATAAGCGATACCCAACAGGTGCAAGGCCAACTAAGACCTTTTTTTCGCATCTGTCATCAAGTTTCTTAAGATATCCAAGTTCTTTTGCGAAAACTGAACATCCAAAAACTTTCAGGGCATGTAAATCAGGTTTGCGCTTATGCCAGTTTTCGTACGGGGTGAACTCTTTTTCTGCATACTGAGTACGGTTCAACAACGCTGCTGAAAATCTTAAGGCTTCGCCCCAGAGTTCTTTGTTAACTCCAGATGTTATAAGTAAAGCTCTTGTTTTATCAAGTAGACTTCGATTTAGCCTTTCCGCTTTCGAGTTTAATTGGGGTGTGTGACTAGGCGTGTAGTCTAAAATGATGCCTTTGTCTTTACACCAATCTTTTAGTTCGTTTGATGAGTATTCGCCTCCATTGTCACACCTAAACTTATGAACTTTAGTACCCCATTTTGCTTCTGCTTTCGCGATATATTCACGCATCACTGAGAAAACTTCGCTTTTGGCGCTAAGTAGATAAACTTCCACATAACCGGTGTAGTCGCAACGGAAAGAAACGTAATAAGCCTTCTGGTCGTATGTTTTTGGTGTGACTGGACCTCCTACGTCACTAACTATGATTTCTAGAGGTCTCGTTGCGTTATCTCTGCCTTCACCAAACGGTTTTCGCGTCATTTTTGCTTTATAGCACACGTCACAATCCTTTATCAGTTTTTCGAGTTCTTGCTTATTGAACTGCAGACTGGTGTCATCGTACAATTTTGACAGCTTGAGCATATTTGTTACACCAAGATGCCCTAGTCTCAAATGCCAAATCATTGCATTTTCACTTTTTTGAGCTATAAAGGCTTGACCCTTGTCTTGAATGTTCAGGTTCACTAAAAAGAGTCCATTTTCTTCCTTTTGGCCTTCAAGGATGACACTTCCGTTTTTCATGATTTGCACGCTTTCATTTGTGAAAATAACTTGTCCGCCACTTTCCACGATTGCACTAACTGATATTAGATTTCTTGCGACGTGTGGGGTGTACAATACGTTCTTGAGTACGCATTGATCGGCTTCGATGTCGCCCTTTTTCCGGATTTGCAGCGCGGCACCCTTTTTTGCAACGCTGATTTCTGTGTCTATTTGTTGCACGTTTGTCAAGGCAAGTTCGTTGTAGGTCATGTGTGAACTCGATCCGCTGTCAATGACCCAAGTCATGGAATTTTCATCACCCTTTTTTAGAGCTAAAAATGAGACCTTTTTGTCGTCTTTTTCTTCATTTTTATTATTTGGATCCCATTTTCCGCCCGGACGAAAGTTGCATTCACGGGCCTCGTGAGATTTTTTCTTACAAATTTCACAAAATTTATTCTGTTTTTTAGGGTTTCTGCTTGATGAACTTTCATTCCTGTCGTTGTCTTTCTTGTTTTGATAGCAAAAGCGGGCTTTATGGCCTTTCCGGTTGCAATTTCTGCAGACTGTGTCTTTTGAAGACATAAAGGCCACTGGTTCTTCATTTGTGTTTTTAAGCCATCTTTGTTCTTCACTCACCAAGTTTGCAATGAGGTCACTAAGTTTTTTGCTGCCATTAAGCCTCCATGCAGTGACGAACGGGTTGAATTTTTCTGGTAGTGAGCATATAATTTTGTTCATTAGTAGGTCATCTGTTAAGGTCGGCTCCACGGCTTTCAGACTGGCAAACAGGTTTGAGATTTTGCTTAGAAATGTGGCAACATTTTCTCCACGAGTGATTTTGTAGTTCAGGAAATCTTGCATAAGTATGCACTTACGCTCATCGTTTTTGTTTTCGAACATTTCCTTGTATTTGTCGTACATTTCTTTTGAATTACTGCACTCAAGGAGATGGGCGAGTAGGCTTCTGTCGACGGTCGACATGATGATTCGTTGCGCTTTGCCATCTTTCAGCGCCCAATCACTTCTTTCTTGCCTTCTTTCTGCTGAGGGTCCCGGATCACTGGATGTTCCTTCTACTATTTCGATGGCTCCAACTGCTTTGAACAGCACTTTCACTTGAAATTCCCAAAGCTTAAAGTTTTCGACGTCCTTCAGCTTTTCAACCTGAGAGTATTGTGTATGCTCGTCACTCATCTTGAATTTTTGTGGACGTAGCGCTTTTTGATACACGAGACGGACGAACTTTTTTTTTTTCCGACAATAACGATATAGTTTCCTTGTTTGCACCAATAATTTTTTGAAACTGTAGCACTTAGTTTCTGGCGGAAGAAAACGCGTTATATTTCGTCAAGTATTTTGTTATTTACCCGTTTCAGATTTTGACAATAACGATATAGTTTCCTTGTTTACACCAATCATTTTTTTGAAACTGTGGCACCTAGTTTCTGGCGGAAGAAAACGCGTTATATTTCGTCAAGTATTCTGTTATTTACCCGTTTCAGTTTTTTTGTCCATTTTTCGCACTTATAATTTCGCGACGCGCACTTCTAGTGCTTTAACCTGCTTCGAGAGTCGAGAATGCCTTTTTGTAACGACAACGCACCATAGTCCTAATAAAACGGCGATTATGAGGAAGAACAATATCGCAGTTACTACGTAAAGTACGACGTCGTGAGTACTTACGGGTTGGTACTGTTGAATGTTGGATTGTATTAAGTCAATTTGGTTCTCTTTTTCTTCCGAACTATCCGTAAACCAGCCCATTTTTTTTTTTTTTTTTTTTTTTTTTTTTTTTTTTTAAAGTTGCACACTACACATACTAAAGCACTGGGCCATAACCTATTATAATATAGCGGGGATAGCGGGTATGATTAGACACGTACGCGACGACATCAGTAAGAAGAGTGTAGTTTATTCTGGTTTACATCCAATAGGTGAGAGACTCGATACATTGTTATGATTTTAGAGATGCGCGAATTCGAAGCGACGCTTCGAATCCCACTCATTGTTGATGTTTCACAATATTAAGAAGCAGGCAATATTGATCTATCATTAGTATTGTATCAAGAGTTTGTAATTACATTTTTTATAAAGTACCCTCAGTTTTCGAAGAATACGACTTGAAAACTTCGTTTAGAAGTGTCTTGTGATTTTACATCTTGAAAGACTAAAATGAGTAGGAGAGAATATTTTGAAACGCCGCGAAGAATACGCGTATTTTTCTATACTGCCACCACCAATATGCAAACTACACGACTTCTTGAATCACCTAAAATCATTATAACATATTCTCCAATTATTGCTTTCTCGCTCCCCTAGTTTTAAAATGTGCTCATACTTTCAAATTATAAATTAGCTTTTTGCTGTAATGAGTTTATTCAACAATTTTTTCTTCAGCTTTAACGCACTTATCATTTTTTTATACTTTCTTTCATAATTAGGATCATTACATTCACATGACACTTAATTTTAATGCCTGCTTTTTAAGAAGGAACGTTCCCACAACACATCTGTAGTCTAATATCCGTGCACGCAGAAAAAAACTTCGTGTCTGGGACCCGAAGTTGATGTCATGTGGATCTCTGAAGTTTCCTGATCACACATCCGAAAACTTGAGGTCGAGCTGCCGAAGTTCGGGTCAGACATCGAGGCACTTCGGCATGTACCGGAGTACTTCAGTTGTCTGGCCCGAACTTCGGCTGCTGCAGCTCCAGTTTTTAGATACGTGATCCGAAAACTTCAAAGATCCATATGACTTCAACTTCGGGTCCCACGCACCAAGTTTTTTTCTCCGTTTGCGTGGTTTTGCCCAAGTTTTGAACTTATCCACCGCCAACATCCGTTACAACTAACCGAACTTTCCTCCAGGCGATGATATGCCTACAACGTTTGCCATGTTGGCAACGTTGACAAGCAAATCCTAAATGCTCGACCCCCCTCCCCCCCCTTAGCGGTCGAAAAGGGATAGATGCAGACGTTGGTGGTCAAAATTCATTAATTAACTGAGTTTAGTTCTTGACTTCAATAGAGCGTTTTCCTCCTTTGGGTTGCAAACCTGCTGATCTGGTTGAAAGATTCTTCCAGGTCCGCTTCTAAAAATTTGCTCTTTGCCAAACTTCACTGACGCGTTTGTTTTCTTCTTCATCTTTTTTTTTTCCTTTCGTCGGAATTAGTCATCCAGCCCGGAGTGGGACAACGCAATCTTCGCCTATGAAAACGCGAGCAATCGGTGCAAAGAAATCACGGATGAATCTCCCGCACCGGAAAAGCAAGCTGCAGCCCAGGCCTGCGAACAGGCATTCTTGAACCTAGATGTCCTTGCGATGAACCTTTGCCTCCGATGGAGAAAGCCGAAATGTCGTCAACTCCCAGACGAGCCTTACTACCAATGCTCGATCAAGGATCCTAGCTGTGCATTTCTCGAACCGATACAAAGAGCCAGAACCTTATACGAGTGTGCCTACAGAGCCGTGCGCGAAGCGGTGGCAATCAGAAGCGGAGGCGGAGGTGTAGGCGGAGGCAGAGGCGGAGTTGGAGGCAGTCGCAGAGGAAGGCCGTCCCTGTCATCCAGCGCTTCCCGGGGATTGCGAGGGCGAGGGTCGCCTGGAAGAGGAAGAGGAAGAGGAAGAGGAAGGTCAAGAGGAAGACAAGAAACCGATGGTGCGCGAAGCCCAACGTATACACTTCCTCCAACTCCTGAGAATCCTCATATCCCTGATGACCCTACACTCGAACATGATCCTTCATTCGACATAGGTTATTATGGAACACCTTCGCGTGCGGTTGTACTTGCTGGTAGTGGTTCGAGCCGGTACCCCTATGGGAGTCCTTCGCATACCACCATGAGTCCACCGATAGGTTCAAGTTCGAGGTATGATAGTGGTGGTGCGAGCGGCTCTGGAAGGCGAAGCCCGACACCTTCCCTCCCTCCATCTTCTGCAGATACTTTGATCGCTCATGATCCGACTCTCCCATATCATCCCTCATTTGGAGTTGCTGACTTCTCCACAGGGAGTCCTCGTCAGACATTCTTGGGTGCACCGTACGGCAGTTTACCTCCTCCAGCTCCGATACAACCAGGAAGTCCTCGTCAAACATTAGGTTCAAGTTTGAGGTATGGTAGTGGTGGTGCGGGTGGCTCTGGAAGACGAAGCCCAACACCTTTCCTCCCTCCAACTCCTGCAGATACTTCGATCCCTGATGATTCGAATCTCCCACATGATCCCTCATTTGGAGTTGATGACTTCTCCACGGGGAGTCCTCGTCCAACATCCTTGGATGCATTGTACGGCAGTTTGCCTCCTCCAGCTCCGATACAACCCCCGAATCCAGTCCATGTACCACAATCTCTCACTGGAGATCCCAACTTTGGAGGTGATGCGTATGGAACTCCATCATATGGTCAAGGACCATATTACACCACCACAGGTAAAGGCGGGTCCTCAAGTCGCTATCAAGGAGTTGAAAGCTCCTCCGGTGGCGGTCAAGAGGAAGAAGAAGAAGGCGAAAGTGAAGATGATTCGGGTACGTCTATCTATTTATATTATCACCGTTCTCTTTGGAAAAGGGCGCATATGTTAAGGTGGTTCGTTTCTGAACCTTTCCCGAAATTACAAAACGGCTCTTGAAAAGTCTATGTTCCTCCCCGTCCTGATGAGGAAGGCTCTTTCGGTTTTTAAAATGTCGATATTAAAGGGTATCCCACTAGAGGGGTACCATTTTTTGGTACATTTTAGCATTGTTTTCCTTCGGCGGATTCCTCAGTTTCGTAGAGGCGCAGTATAAATGTGAATTTACCGAGTATTTAAACACTGCAACGAAAAATCAATGCTCTACGGATGACAGACAATTGATTTTGATCGTTTTTATAAGGAAAAGTACGCTGAAGCGCCTATACATGTTTCACATTTTTACATAAAAATGCAGCGAAAAGAGTCTTCAGCGGCTGCTCTCAAGTTACCTTGGGTAGGCTTGACACTCAAAATTTTCCATCATAGGTTAAGAGGAAATGAAAGGCACGACCAAAAGCGAAATATGTTGATATTACAAGATTTCAGGGTATTTTGTCCTCCTCAAATGGCTTCGAGGTGAGGGGCCGCACTACTGCAATTTAAACATTTTTGCTCAGACAACCCCCACCCCCCCCCTCCCTTTTCGGTGAAATCTAAAGCACTTTTCCTCCTAAACACAAAATAAATCTATCATATTATATTCAAAGAGCATCCATTTTTCATCGTACTTTTTCAATTCGCGGAAAATTTGCAACTATACTGCACTTCTACGGAATTGAAGGATTTGCCTTAGCAAGACTAATGCTAAAATCTACTAAAGGGGTCTCTCTTGCTGACCTTCAATACCAACATTTTCAAAATCCAGAACAAGTTACTTTATGGGGACAGTCGAGTGCACCGACTTTTCACAATCCGGTTTTAAAAGACGAAAAAATAAGCAAAAACGAGCAACCTTAACAAATATTATGCAGGTTTCTTCGGTCATACTCTTAATTTCGCTGGATCAAAGGGTCCTGTGATGTCAGCTTTTGTTTTGACAATGGACCACCAGACAAGTTGCGAATCTAAGTATTCTGCTAAAAGTTTCCCCATGATAATATCTTGTCCCTGCTTTGGGCAACAAAAAAAAACTAAAATTAACTATAACTATAATTAACTTTGATATTGACGTTGCTTTTTACCAATTTTTAAGTCAATTTGCATTTCCCGCTCACAGAAAAACAGTGGTCTAAGAGTACATACAACGATTAAACCGCCCACCGTGCTGTGCGCGCAATGCGTGAAGTATTCCTAAAGTCTTACAGGCGCGAATATGCCTCTGGCGCCAACTGACCGGATGTACTGCGTTTGACGCAATGCGTAAAGTATCCCTACAGTCTTGCAGGCGTTAATATGCGTTTAACGTCGCCCGCACTGTGTTTGGCGCTATTATTCGAACTCGCGTGAGAATAATTACGGCATGAAATAATGGGGATTAGAAGGCCCATGTTGTGTTTCGACGCCGTATGATCATTTCAAAGTTGCCGCATATCTCTCGATAAAATATTTTACCGAGAAAATTTCGGAAAATCCTTCATAATAGCTTTTTTAGATTGAATGGACCATTAAAGAAGATACGAATTTAAGCACTCTGATATATAATTCTTCACCAGAATTGCCCGTAAAACACGATCCGCTCTCCGAAAACTACTGAAGTTATTTCCAAGCTAAGATATTAACGTTTCTATCATACATTGATTCCGTGAAATTAGATATGCTCGGTCACAAGAAAAACAATTCTCCTCTTAAATCAAATCAACAATGTTCAACAACAATCAACAATGTTCTCATATTTCAAGTATTGTACAAAGTCTAACAACGTTCAATAACTGTGCTGAAGCGCCGAAAATAAGGTTGTCATGTTTTTATACCGCAAAAAATGTCGCAGTGTCGCTTAGTGCACAGTTTAATTCAAGTAGATATTGGTGGCGGATTTCAGGCGCGTAGCGAGGGGGGAGGCTTATGGGGCTCAAGCCCTCTCCAAAAGCAAAAAAAAAAGGGGGAAAAAGATGAAGAAAATAGGAGATAGAAAATAAGAAAATGCGAGAAAGAGGAAGTTTGAACTTTCAAAAGGCGTACGAATATATTTAAAATTTCAAAAATTTTCTAGATGCGTTGAATGCAACAATTTGAAGGTATCGTAGGCTGAACGTAAAAAATGAAACGTAATTTTCCCGCGGAAATTTATGAAAAATCAGCGTCACGGAAGCCTCAAAATGCGTCCAAATAGATTTAAAATTTGCCAAGAGCCCCCTCCGAACTGGGAGGCACTCCATACCCCCAAACTCCTCCTTTGTCGAAGAGGGGGGAGAACCCCGCTTACTCGACCAAGCTCCCCTCGAAACAAAATCCTGGCTACGTGTCTGGCGGATATACGTTGCATACCTCCTTTGCGATCGTTTTGATCCCCTACTCGATGTAGGTATATAATGAATCGAGTGCCTGAGTTACTTAACGAAAAGTGACTGGCGAGTTCGTTCTGAATCTTTCAGAGCTTGTAAAAAAGTTACTAATGCTTCAATCTTCTAGGTTGATGGATTTTCGTCATCCCCCGTATTTTCATTGTAAATCCTACAGATGTACCCGGGCTCCGTTATTTGAATTCTTTTTAATACTTATAAAGCCGTGCCTGGCCCGATTGTGAATGTAGAAAGCCATTCGAACGAGTTTCAGTTTTTTTGATCTGCCTCAAGCAAAATCTTATCAGATTCTTGAAGAAAAGTGCTGCGGAATAATTTAAGCGAAGAAAGGAAAAATTCTGTCGAGATCCTGAAAACCGAAGTCTTTCGCGCCAGTCACTTTCCGGTAAGGAGCTAAGGGAATCGCTACATTGTCTAGAGTCCCTTTATACTGAGAGTCAAGACAATGTGAATCCATTTCTGATTGGTTCCCGTATTTTAGGCCTTCACAGTGTCACAAACGGGAATAAAGATTACATTTTCACCGATTGCAAAGATTATAATCTGGAATGGACCAGGAAATTACGGGTTCGGCAAGGAAGAAACGGAATGACAGAAGAAACGGAGAAAGGAATTTGAGAATGGGCCGATCAAAGATGACAAAAAACATTCAATTTCTGTAATCTTTTTTCCCGTTTGTGACTCCATGAGGGGGTGTTGTCTTGACTCTCAGTATAAAGGGACTCTAGGAAGAAATAAAAACTGGAATAGTATTCGCAGAGTGGTTTGCTTATTGTTCAGATGATGAAGGAGGAGAGGGTAACCCATCAGCGACTGTAGCGCAAGGAACACCACAGGTGTGTCCCCAGTGCCACAGATCTTTTACCCGCCCAAGATCGTTCAAGGCGCATATGAGAGTTCACAAGTGGGTTGCGGAAGGCAAGTATCGCTGCAATGATTGCGATCTAAACTTGTCCTCAAATCGCAACTATAAGCATCATATGCTTCTTTATCATGGCATACAAGTAGGTAAGTCTTCGTTGTTTTTATCCAATTGCAATACTTGCTAGATGCGCCTAGAATCTGCATTTAAATGAAGATAAATTGTGACCACATTGCAAAAATCTCCACTGGTTTTCTGCAGTGTGTTATTTGGGCGGTAATTCTAGAAAAGGAAGCAAGGGACCTCAGGTGTTGCAATGTTGCAGTATAAACAGTCCAATCACATTTGGAATTAACTGATGTATAATGGTTTCCTTTCAAAAAATACTGCTTATTTTTAAAGAGAAGTCCTTGAAGGCTCTGCAAGAGGTAAGGTGGTAGAAAGGAGAGCAACAATACCACTGCTTTCATTTTTTTCAATTTAAAAATTTCAGAGAAGTCGGGAGAAATGTTGACAAATCTTTTCATCCGGCCGGATTGACCTAGTCTCCATTTTGCCTCAATCTAAGCCACCGATGAGAATACTGATAAATGAGGATTTTGGAGAACAAGGCGCATTCGTGAAGTTCTCAAAGAAATTGACTTATTTTTTATTTTAACTAAAAATAGTCTTAAAATACTCCTGAAATACAGTACTTTAAACGTCATGAAGTGAATTTTGAACCTCACTCAAATCAGGGCACTCCGAGTCATTTACAATCTTTACTTTTTGATGTATTGAAAACTGTACTCATGCTCTTTGTACTCCAAGTCCTTCAAATGACCCTTTCTTTTGATGAAGCACATACAGCTAGTATTTATGCGTCCGTATTAAACGCTACTGTAAACTGGCGCATGCATGTATGTGCTGGTGACATACATTGATAACGTTTTCATTTGAGTGTTAATAAGTAAGATGTTGTTAGAACATCGCTAATTCTTTCTTTTTCAGAACCCCCAAGTGACCCCAAGCCTCACAAGTGCGACTATCCCAACTGCAACAAAGCGTTCACAACTCCCAGGAACCTGACTGTGCACAAGAAATCTCACGAGGAACTGTACATCTGTCGTCGTTGTGGTAAAGAGCTCAGATTACGGAATAGTTATTTAAAGCATGAGAGAGAATGCTTAAAGAGGCCGTCTTAAAAGTGAAAATTTTGGAGAGCGATCACAGAATCCGGAAATTATGGACATCACTTTCGTCTATCATTTTTGCGAAGTAATTTTTAAAAGTGAATTTGTTGAGCTAAATGAAGATCTACATGAATAAAATCATTATGCTATACCGTATTCAATATGAACCCTTTCAATATCAGGTTATGATTATCCATGCACACGCCTTACAACTTAATTAGGAGAGGAGACTAGACAGAGAAGCGCAAGGAAGCCTTGAAGTAATAATCCCACATAAATGAACAGAAAGATAACCTTAATCTCCTATGGGCTTTCAATTTTACGATAAATACGCCTACGAAAAGACAGATAAATACCAAAATACCAACTCACAGTTGCTCTTCTTTTGCAAAAACATTTTAGTCATGCCCAATTGTCTTTCATCATAATCCAATGCATTGTGTTTCGAAGAGGTGGATCTATTCAGAAAGCTGGCCTTTCGGTAATTTTTATGATTGGCTATCCGGAGAAGGGGAAGGAGGAAAAGGGAAAAGGGTACTTTGCCTCAACGAATTGTGGAGGCTCCATTTGGAAACAAATGTATTTCCTATTATAAACTTCTCTCTTAAAAATCATCTGGACTTCAAAAACAGGTCTCTAACATTACCAGAGGCAAGATACCCTAGGTTATTGGCGAACGAGCTCATCAAAAAGAAAGTGTTCCAGGCGTTCTACATTGCGTGGTAACACCAACTTCGTTGCTCACGCTCAAACGCCGGGAACCCGAGGTAGGGGTATGGGCAAGACGAGAAAGTAGACATTTCCAATTCCACTCGCTCTTCTTCAAACCATTTTTTATGTACAAAAATATTATTTTTTGTCATGGGAACGGAGTTCCCCATGATATTACAATCGTTCCGTTGCTTTCGCTATGGGATTCCCTATACCTCTGCAGCCTTGAGCGTTTCGCCCAGTCTCCGATTTTTGGTTGATTTTCCGATGTATCAAAAACCGTTGTATTTTTTAGCCAATCATGTCTCTACGTCAAGTTGTGTTGATTTCTAAAATTCGCTTTCAGCGAGTTTTTTTCCACCTTGAGATGTCGTGTCTGACTGTTAAATCTGCGCAGAACCACGAAGTTCCGTTTTTAGGCAAATTCTTTTTTTTTGGGAGGTTTTCATTGGCTATTTTTCGCCATCAGTTTTCTGTTCGTTGGTGCAAAAGATCGCCTACTTCGTTGTTCTTGAGAAGCCGCCATTATCCCACCTCAAATTTTAAACATAGATATAAAGAAATAATAACCATCGTACAAGGCGGAAAATTGTTCTGGAGGACCCGTTACGGATATATGAGCCAAAATCAGAACTCGATTGATGAATTTAATCCATGAATACAGATATATTGCCTCAGTTTACTGCCGCGCTAGCAAATGCAAGCTGAGATGAACCTTGTGACACATGAAAGCATAGGCAAACAATGTCTCACAGAGAAATGCGCTTAATCCGCTGTCTCTTAACAGCAGTGGCCGGATGTCAAGGTCGTCTTTTGTGAAGCCCCGCTCAGCGTCCGAGATCACTTAACTGTTATCTTTTCTCCAACCGTGAATGAGCGTCGAGGTAGCTCGGTTGTTTGAGACGCCATGTTACCGTTTTATACATATCCTTTTTGTTGCGGGCGGGGGTTCGAATCTCGTAGACGACAGTTAATTTTTACTGGTGGTATTGAATGTTTTAGACCAATCATCTAACAATAATTAATACTTGGCAACTTAGGAAGCACATAGGTCCCTTATGATGCGTATTCGGGCATATGTGTAGAGTAAAAATATCATACGTCATCAAAAAGATCAACTCAATACCTATCGATTAAAACCAAGATCAGCTCAATCGAATAAAAATTGACCGAGTTATGACAATTTGAAATTAGTGAGGAAAGTTTACCTCTACGGTTTTTAGGAAGATTTTTCGCTTACCAGCATTCAAAAAGTTAATATTCGTATCCACTTTCCTCCGAATCTTCCATAACTTCCTTTTGCTTTTCAAAGTACCGTCCATCAAACCGGATGCACTTTTTCATGCGCTCTTGCCACTTATCCAACATTGTTTTCCTGAATTCTTCCTCTGAGATGGAGTTGAAGAAGTTTTGAATTGCATTCTGGATTTCGGTCTTCGATACGAATCTTCGTCCGCGAAGCTCCTTTTTAAGCGTAGGAAACATCCAAAAATCACATGGAGCCAAGTCAGGGCTATAAGGGGGATGAGGGATTGTTTCAACTCCATTTTTACTCATAAATTCACGTGTTAAGCTCGATGTGTGAGGCCGCGCATTGTCTTGATGGAGTATCCACGAAGCTTTCAAGTCCGACCGTTTCCGGGAAATGTGCATTCTCAACTCCTTTAGTACTTTGCAATAATACGCACTGTCAACTGTTGTGTTTGATGGTACAAAATGTTGATAAATGACACCTCGAAAATAAAAAAACACAATAAGCATCACTTTATCGGCCAACTTTTCGATTTACGGCGATGAAGAATCTTCCTTAAAAACCGTAGGCGTAAACTTTCCTCGCTGATTTCAAATTGCCATAACTCGGTCAATTTTTATTCGATTGAGCTGATCTTGATTTTAATCGATAGGTATTGAGTTGATCTTTAAAATGAAATCAAGATCATGTCTGTATCTATCTTACTTTCGAAGTTACAGAACAAGTCCCGGTGCTCTTGGGACACCTTATGTACACTTTACGCCGAAAAAGCGAACCTGAAACTTAAATGCGTTAACTTCCGAAAACCATATATAATCCAACGAAAATAAATGATTGGTACATAACAGCTTTCTTGTATGTAAAGAAAATAATTAAAAATGTTAAAAAAGAGATGTCAACACAAAATTACATAGCCCCTTCAATTCAGAAGATACTACAAACGAACTGTACCTTAACATTTTCATATCCCAGAAGCTAACGTTCCCATGACGAATATTGCTATCGCTAGCGATTGCAAAATCCAACTTGTTTTTAATTTTAATTTTTTGCTGTCAATTATTGTACGTGTAAAACTGCGTGCACTTAGAGCTAAGCGTCATTCTCAGTTGCTGGATCAGATTGGAAATGTTTCGAGGATGAAGTCTTCTTACTACGTTTTGCTCATTTTAGTTTCATCGCTTCTTCGCCATAACGTCACAGCGGTAAGTTAGAGGTAGATTAACACAAAAATGGTACCACGGACAGGGCCGGATTTAGCTTTTTGCCGCCCCTGGGCAAGCTACATTTTGCCGCCCCTGGGTCTGCAATATTTCGCCACTATATTGTCAACAGTATCCCCTCTTCCCCCTCCCCCTCTCCGCACTCCCAACTTCCCACGCCATCTCATCTTGCCCCCCCCCCCCGTGCGCCGCCTGGGCGCATGCGCGTAGCTGCTTCAAAGTGCGCCGCGAATATATAAAATGAAATGGATGGATGAGACAAAAATAAAATGTGGAGACAAAGTTGAAGCTAGACCTCTAAAGTCGGTATCTAATCACCTATAACCTACTCACTACACGAAACACACTAGTCTAAAGTTGGCTGCAGGTGCTTAGTCACAAAGCCATTAAACAACAGAAAAAAAAAAAAAAAAGTTGAAGCTAGTGTAGCTCAATGTATTAGTTGCAATGTATTTTCGGAAGATCAGGTTAAAAAGTTTTTCTCCGGGTTTTCAGTTTAGCAAAGCTGTCAACCAGAGTATCAACGTCTAAATTGATTATCAAGTCTGCCTCGATGTTTAAAATTGCCGTGTTGTTTAGTATCACTCCAACGAACGATCATCCTAGCGCTCAAGGCCGGACCTAAGGGGCGGCAGCTTTGCCGCTCCCGTCAAGCGTCAACTCCCTTCCTTCATACATTTTGCCGCTCATCTTTTCACTTCGCTCCGTCTCTGTCTCCATTTTTTCCTTTTTTCTCGCTTTAGCTTTCAATTAATCCAGTGCCAAAATTTGCCGCCCCTCAAAATCTGCCGCTATTGGCAAGTGCCCCAGTGCCCTATAGGTAAATCCGGCCCTGACCACAGATGAAGAAATAAAGTGACTATATAGTGTAATTTGCACTTCAATACCAAAAAATACATGAAAAATTATAAAAAAATAAACTTCTGACATTAATATTGGGATTAAATAATGAGTTGAACCCTTCAATATGTCCACTTATGAGTGTACTATGTGTACGCTTATGCAAACTTACCTCCTAATTGATTTTAAGGAAAAATGAAAGCCCCTTCCATCAAATGAAATAAGCGATTCATGTTCCGTCACATCTTCAGGTTTTTAATGTGTCCAAAAAGACGTTTTGACCAGCATATTAATTTATTATGGCACTAAGGAAACAATCAGATTTCGAAGCGAAGAAACAGCGAGATTAAATATTACAGCCCAACACAAAGTGGAGCGGCGGCGCACTGGCGCCTACAAACCTAACAGGGATACTTCATGCATTGCGCAATGCGTGAAGTATCCCTGTTAGGTTTGTAGGCGCCAATGCGCGTTTCGCGCTGGCTGCCCGCCCGCCGCGCTGCGCCGCAGCGTACCACGGCGCTTGAAGCAACTATTTCACACCAGAGGTATTGCACAGTATCATACGAAATTGAAGGCGCTCCAACATATCAGGAATGGCAGGCATCCTTCAAAAGTACGGAGCTTTCCTCGCAAAATAAATCAAGATTCTACGGCCCAAAAAGAAAGCAGTGGTCCAAAAACTCACCAAGGCCTAGCATCCGTAATTAGTAACGGATAGCATACACTTTAACGTCAGGCTGTTGCTTAGTCGCCATCGGATATAAAAGGCTATAAGAAATTGTGTTGCCGGCTATAGAAGCTATTGGAAATCTTACAGCCGGCTGTAGGTCAATGTTATTTTGGAACACAGATTCTACTGCCAATTTTTACCAGGGTTGACTATCTACCGACGCATTCGATAAAATGCATAATTTCGATGGAGATGTTTCGATGTCGAGATTCCTCGATAACTACCGAGTCGCGAGTTGATTGTACCAGAATTCATTCCTTTGAGAAGTATCTGAATCCTCCACAAACGGACCGCGCGATATATCAAATCGATGGGCAGATGACGATTCCAAAATGGAGGCCAAGGGGTGCTATAAATCTTGGGAAAAAGCTAGACTTCATTTATGGATGGCACCGAAGGCGTCACTCTATGTTGTTTCTGTTCGTATTTTTGTTTCGACCGATTGCTTCATGTGTGGTCGTATTTTATTATAATCTTTATTTACAATTTTTAAAGTCTACGAGTGTCAAAAAGCATGAGATACTAAAATGTGAATATACCGCTACATCATCAGACTTATTATTTTCTCAGCCAGTTCCCTCCATGAGATTCCTCCTTCAACGGGCCTATTTTCTTCCAATTTTGAGGGTAATAAATCAAAGGAAAGCACAAAAGAGAAAAATAAAAAGTATTTACAAAAATGCTTTATTATTAGAAAATATCAAGAACGAGGGAGGAGAAAAAAGAGAAGTTATCTTTCATCGTTTGAAATAGATGAAGATTTGTTTGTTTTCTAAGAGAAAAATTAAACAATTAACAGCTTGATTTGTACTGAAATTAAAAACAAATATTTGATCTCCAACTTTTCGAAGACCAGAAGTTCAGTGACGTACACTTGCGTAAGACTGGATTTTTCTTTTTGCTTATTGACTATACCTACATCGAATACATTCTTTCAGCAAAAACGCATCGAGTCGCGTATTGAAGAGAAAATGAGTCATGAGACATTCTGAATTCGAGTAAGTGTAATATCTTCTCGTAAAAAATTCAAAGTATAGCGAAAATATTAAACGTGAAAATAGTTGTTAAACTTTGTCCTTAAAATTGAGTCTTGTGAAGGGAAAACCTCGAACCTCTTTTTATTGGTTCAAATTTATTGTGACTTAGTGAGCCTCTGTTAAATTCGGTCTCCTCGTTGTCGATGATTCTTTTTTTCGAGTGAAAAAACGACGGTTTTTTAACGTCACGTCTTATCAGATAATTTCCTTCCATTTCATTTGCACCAGAATTAACTGTGTTATTTTAGAATACGCTCGTTCTGATTTACAAAGTCTCTTGCGGAGAATGTATTGAGAGATTATTCCCAGCACTTTGGACATAAGAATTGTAAGATAAGTTTCATCCACCCGAATTGAGTTTTCCAACGGTAGTTGGCATCTCCTGAGAAAGTGAGGGATATTTTCCCGCTGTCCTCTATTTTCACTTTGCTAGCCACTGTGTAAGTCTGAAATCAGTTCATATGAAAGATTATGAGGGACAGACAAAAAAGAAACGGAACCATAGACATGTCCTGTAGTTGAAAAAATTCTAATTCGAATTGATTAAGTGAATATTTGACAGGCGGAAATCTTTCATCAAACCTTTCAACCAGATATCAGTAAACTTTACAATTTGAACCATTCATCTCTCAACGCAAAACACCTCCCCCTAAAACGCCTGCAACTTTGCACGAGGGCAATCAGCGCGACCGCGAAGCATGAATAGTCGCATCGCTCTATATTGAAGTACCACCTTCAAACTATTCGGCGCGGAACAAGTTCAAAGTATGTGACATTGATAAATTAAGTTCTTTGGCGATCCTTTTTGGTCAAGATCTTGATTCTGCTAACACATAAACATGGACTGCTTTCCCAGCGCTCCATGGCGCTCTGCGACACTTAACCACCATAATCACTTATCTCCCCATTGCTCTTCAGGGAATAAGCGCCCCCTAATTTTTCTGTAAAACAGTCTTTATCATTTTCTGGGGCGTCCTTTTCGTGTCCTCCAAGGAGGAACCCAATTAAGCATCGTTTTTGGCAGCCTTTCTTCCGTCATATGGTTAAGATGCCGAAATCGACGGGCTGTTTGGTCACGATGTCCAACATGATGTCATTTTAACTTCCACGATCATTCTATCATTACGAATTTTTGGTATAGTGTGAAAATTTTATGACTCATGAGAATTATGCTCCTACAAGTTCAGGGGCGGTCTGGCCAGGGGTGCGAGGGAGCTTCAGCGGCCCTATAAATCTGACGGTGGGTCAGGGGGCCCTGCTAGGACGCCTGTAAGGGTTTCCTGATACCTTCTTGAAAAACCCGCATGAAAGAGGACTTAAGGTCATAAGGAGGGGCCCCACCCGAGAGGTAGGGCCCCAAACACGTATTAGTATATCCCCAAGAATTTTTGATCCAGACCAACACTATGCAAGTTGACTGAGAAAATGACACTAACATGCATGGGATTCAGTCCGAATGGAAGTCGAGGTTAACTTTCAATATGAACTTTCAACTTTCCTTGAACAGTCGTAACGGTCGTTGATTCGCCGCTTTCTCAAAAAATAAACTTGTTATACACTTCACAAACCTTTTTCGGCATTTCCTTCGACGATGTGCGTCTGATATGATGTGATAGGATTATCAGTCTGGGATTTTGCGCAGACCGTGGTTCAGGTACTGATGATGCTGTTTTCAATTTTGCGATTATTGTTGGGTTGAATAGAGGGTCCAACCCTGCAGCTTTGATCGTCACGTACGAGAGTATCATACCACACAAAACGATAAGACGCAGAGTTACTTGCAGCTGAGCGCGTAACATTTTGCGATGCTTTAATCAGTCTTCTCGAAAATAATTCTACTTCAGGAGTTCCTTTACCTTGAAAATGAAAAGCCGAAGAATCACTTTGAGCATTGACCCTCAAAATTTTGAATTTTTTTTTTTTTATTTATTTAGCTGTAAATTTATTTTTTTGTGAAGAAACTGGAGCAAGGAGCTTTACTCGCATAGTAGAATAACTTCAGCTTATTTTTCGATTTCTTCAGATATTTATTCGAACAAAGCGAGAAAAATTAAATAGGTTTATTGTATTTTTAAAAGACAAAACAAAACAATATCAGAATAAACCGTTTGATGGAAATAACTATTTTGTATTGCGAAGTTTGGTGACTGCCCTTAACTTGTCGATGATAAGGCTTACTTTATTTAAACGCTGGGGGATTGAAAATCATCGTAAAATTTCAAAACAATTTAACTCCTGATATTTATGAATTATTTTACCTTGCATTATCTTCTATAATTTGTTTCAATGGACGGTCTTTGTTCAGTACAGTAACCCCATACTCAATTTTTGGAATTTTAACTGAAGTAGGTAGAAATTAGTCAAATAAAAATTCACACACCTCGAGATGAAAATATGAGGAACTGGTCATCTTCTGATTAAGATTGCACCAAACATAAAAAGCTATAGGGGGTGAAGAAAGATATAACACTTAAGGTCAGTAAGAACGCGGCATGTTAAATATTCTCCGTGAAATCTAATTAGTATCGTAAGTATAAAAGTTTAGCAACAGTAATCTCAAAAAAGGAAAGTTGCAGAATTTCAATTTTTTTTTTTAGGTTTTAGGTAAACTTGAAAGCTCAATGGTTCCTTCTAATCTCACTTATTCTCATAGAGAGCACTGCAAAAATAACTGATCCACATTCATTGTTTGTGGCACACACGTAAAAAAAAAAAAAAAAAAAAAAAAAAAAAAAAAAAAAAAAAAATTCACATTTTAAAACACCACACTCGAAATGCGTATTAGTGAATTTCTATCGGCTAGATTTGCTGAAACATACAGTTAGACGTTTCCTAGTGAAATATTTCTAATATGGCATAGAAGTTTAGAAATTAAGCATCAATATGTACAATTTAATAATTCGAAACTTTGCTTAAAGGGAGACCATTTACTTAAAATTTGAACTGTACTTACGAGAGATTGAAGAACGAAGCATCACGAGTTCGCTTACATTCAGCTATGCTTTGGGCCGATAATATTATTAAACATTTAATGAGGGTTCGGTCTGAAGTGACCGCAAACTTGCGACTACCAGTTTCGTTACAATAGTACAGGAGGTGGTTTTGTCGCCAATGAATAATACCTCCTAAAGTTACGCATGAAAATGGGACGAAGAATTTTGTGTTCATAACCCTCCAATGAATCTTTATTTCATAGCCCAACCTGTCGAAATGTCTTCCTGAAAGGTAGATGCATGTTGTCAATTTTTCAAAAATACATGATAATTCTCATCTATAACTCAAGTTTAAAAACCGCTAATTTTTTAGTTAGGCAGCGAAATTGAAGCAAATGAGCAAAAAAAATCACATAGACATTCGCAAATCTTGGCTAACAGCGTTTTTCCTTTTATTTATATATTTATTTATTTTCGTGCCTCAAACGTAATTCGTTACTGTTGTAATTTCATATTAAAGAGTAAGATTGTTTGTTCATTTAATTGGTAAGTTAATATTTGACATTTCCGTTCGACTCATGAGCCAACTTTTTAGTTATCTGCAAGTTTTGCAAAACTTGTCGTCATCATCTCATGGAATGCACCTATTTTTTCGTTACTTTGAAAAGGAATTTGCAGAAAAAGACGAAATCAGTAATTTATTTAATATATAAACTTTAACAATTATTAATAAAATTGTCTTCTCTAACCGATTGAAAAAGGAAACTTCTTGACGGCATTTGATGCTGACCAAAACGATAATTGCTTACAGTTACGGAGGAGCCCGATAAATTTTCTCAGCGATAAGTTCACTACCATTTTGACAAAAAATAAAATAAAATGTAGACAATTCAAGACAAGTTATGTGCACGTCCATCAGTCTGGCAATGAGGATAGGTTACATCACTAGCCTTGCAGTTGAGTTCAACTTCATCGATACCCGTATATTTCCGATCTTTTTTAGATGCTATGCACTAGGAAATGTAAAGCAAGTCATCTGAGACGTCATAAAATATCCGAACATCAATAACCTATAGCTTACTTTTACGTCCACCCCCATGATACGGCAATTTGCGTTTTTTTCGAGGTGCTTTAATCAGTCAACCAAGCTCTCGCAAAATTAAAATTGCAGAATTTTTGGCAGCTATGTCTGGTCGGCTGAAAAAATTAGTTTAACTAACAAATGTATGTACATTCGATAAAACAGATTAACGGTTCCCTGGTTGCTGATCGTCGTAAACTATAACTGGCCAACCATCTATGGATACTTATTTTATTCAACTTACAGCGGATTAAAAAGTATATTTCTATCACCGGCAACAACTTAGAAGAGACCAACGATTTATACATGACTTTTTAAAAAAGCTTCCTCATTAGCTAGTTAATTTTACGACACCGGTCAATTTGACGAGATTAAATCAATGGTGCAACGTGTTTCTATTGTGACCGGGCTTTGACGATGAGACTCGTAGAAAATCTTGCATGGTATGCCTCACAGAGTTAGTACCTTTTGCTTTACAAGCATCCAAATATACAGAGTGTAAATATCTTTATGATTTCACGGGATTTTTTCATCAAACCGTTTGAGGAGCTAATAAAAGCGTTTCAATATTATTTTTCTAGGCAACAAATATTTAACAGAGCCTGATACATTATTTGAAGTCGATCCAGGAAAAAAATTGGGAATGACAGTTTTGATTATTTCGCTAAAAAATGCAAAAAAATTTTTTTCGAAACTATAATGGTTTGTTTTCCATATACCTACATTTCTTTTGGTTTCAAATGATTACTAAAATAATAGAAGAAGAAAATTTTTTGAAAATAGTTATTTTAATATGTCAACTGATATAATACAAAATTCCCAAGAAGGATCTTGGTGACTATTTACAACTCTTCAACAAACATTCAATACTTACATTATTTACAGATAAAATCATAGGGACAGCCAAGACAGCTTTAAGATAGGCAAGTAAAAAAAATCGTGAAAAAATCGACAAATTCAAAGTTTTTATGGGGGAAGGGGAGGGGGACAAAAAATTATGAGCAGACTAATTAGAGAAAAACTCTAAATGGGGATATCCTGTAAATTTTTTGAAAATAATGTACTTACAGAACATATTTTAATTCATTAAAAATTGATATAAATAAGGGTGAAAGAAGAAAGATCTTTGTAGGACTTCATACATATAAGTGATTTTTGTCCAGTCTCAGGTACTTTTTTGTCTCACTGTATTTATATAATTACACCTTACTTGAAATTGAAGAAAATAGAATTACAATTCAAAGTACTGATAAAATAAACACCCAACAGCCTTCGTTTTATTTTGACCCTGTCAGTCGTAAATATTTTGTTTTTCACTACATACATGTATAGCACCAATAAAAATTACAGAGATATCATATCGTGTTCGTCTTAAACTTGCAGGTCCCACCTAATTCTTTTGCTCCCTCAGATTCCAAGTGATGTATCCTTTTGGGAAAAATTCTGGTTTAATTAGTTTATCCAGTTATCAATGCAGCCACTCCCTTTCGTTACATTGTCCGTTAGGTTAAACTCAAAATTTAATGTAGACACTCACGTAAAAGCTCCAAAGAGTTGAAACTGATAAATTCGGAAAGGTTGGTTTAGGTAAGAATAAAAACTTAGATTTAAGAACTTTTGACATTTCAATCTCTTAAAAGTAAAACAGTTCAAGTGTTCACTGTTAAGACATTTCCCCAAAATTTTTACGGGGGTTTGCTAACAATAAAGGCCGGACTCATTCAAGATTCTCGCAGCTCCCAGTGAAAATGCTTTTCAATGTTTTCCATTAACAGTCTATTATACTCCAATAATTATCTTTGATAATTTAAACATTTGTGATTAGCTACTGAAACACTTGCAGTCAATGAAATAAAATTAATATTCGTGATACTCTGAGTCTTCTTTTTGTGGGGCAAGTTTCAGCGGTTATTACATAGTGTGACGTTTTTTAAAAAAAATTTAAATGCATTATTCTAAAGTAAAAAATACTGGTTTTGTTCCCATAGTCCCTGACGAATCCTCTCCATTCTTAAGTACTGAGAAGAAAAAAGAAGAAAATGAAGTATCTATAGTGTATGAATGCATTTTTGGGGGCCCCGTCCACAGGACGTGTCAAATTTCAAGATCGACATTTTTAAGTCATTGCAACTTAAAATCACGAAAGGGGTAAAAATTAATGCGGCACAGTAATGCAACCACACTAGTTTCTTTAGTGAGATAAGTCAAACCTGCAAACATAAAATCACCTTAGTAGTTTACTATAGAAAACGGAGATGGTAATTTACCTTCGTGTCTATAAATTCGGTAGAATCCACGCCTATAATAAGTTTGAGGCGCTTCTAGACTGCTATACTGCCATGCTAAGGAAAAACTCCGTATGAACCTTCAGGCGTTGCCAAATTTCCCTTGGCAATTCATTATAATTTTTAGGAAAACTTCTGAATATTTGGAAAAAATTTCTCTGATATTTTTGTTTGTAATTTGATATGAAACGCTGAAAATTTCAGGACGAGATGACACTCATCATACACTGAAGTGACGCGACAGCCTCCGGCCAGCCTGCCGTTTCTCAAGCGCGTCACCCGTCTCAATGAGTCTGATTGTGAGAGAAGTCAAAACGCCTTCAACATTTTGTCTAGGCAACAAAGACAACCGTCAAGTGTGATTCGTTGCGCGTGGGGGTCACCATCATAATACTGCTGTGCTAAGGAAGAACGCCGTATGAACCCTCAGGCGTTGCAAAATTTCTTTTGGTAAATTACGAATTCTCGGGAAAATTTGTAAAAATTTTTCTTCCAATATTTCATGTAATTTTGTTCGCAATTTCACCTAAAGTTTCTGACAATGTCAAGGCAAAATATTCTTAATTTTCCTCAAAAATAAACATTTTATCGAAGAAAATTTAGCAAATCTCGAATATTCATACGGCGTTTTTTCCTAGCATGACAGTATAGAAGATCGACCGGCGTCACTTTTACATGTGAAGTAAATGGAAGAACCAAGATGGTGGATCATCAGTCGCAGTCTAAAAGTGCGTAGACTGATTTGGCGTGGACTCTAAAAAAATGAAAATCTCCCATTAGAGGAAATACACTCATCCGAGCCCACTTTTCTTTCATACACACATACGCCACGTGGTGCATCGCAAGTGACGGCGAGTCGATGTTACGATCGAGTTACCGAACAACGGTCATCACGACCAGAGAAAAAACGTTTGAGAGATTCTGCGGTAACATCAAAACTGGACGGCCCGTCCAATGTTGATGAATGAGGAACGTTGCATGGTGATCAACAGTCATCAAATGGTCAATTTTAATCGGAATTCATCGTCCATCGCGGCGTCATCGGTCTGCGATCACGATGACAATATCTAAGTCTAAACGACTCGTGCAACGTTCACAACCGTATACGATGATAGTTTTTAGTTTAGGCGATGCTTGTTCGATGCGAGGATCAGTGCTCGATGTAAGACTTGATGAATCTGATGACGTAGGAGAGGGCCGACCAGGATTTGCGGGAGCTGAGCCTTTGACGTAGGAAGACGTACAGTGTGAGCTTGAAGAGGACGAAGATTCCGACGAGGGCGACAAAGTCCGTCCAGTAGTCAACGTCCTCCATCCCCACTTCCTTGAGGAGGGCGCGGGGCTCCCGCAGCTCGCACACCATCTCTTCGGTCGGACACATCATCTTCGCCCGGTTGTCGCCGTAGATCGCCATCGTTAAGCCTGTTGGGAAGGAAACGGGAGCTTATAGTATGAAACAACAATCGATATTTGGAGGTATTTCTATCAAACGGAACTAAGCGCCAATTTGAGTTCCTTTTGAGGAAATTAGAATCCCGGATAGCGCGTTCTATCAAACGGACCTAAGCGCCATGGAAAAGCATTGCGAGTATAGGACGGAATAAGCCGGACGCCCGATTCCGCCGCCAATCCAAGCCCCCCTCTACCTTCCTCACCCTATGGCGCTTAGGTCCGTTTGATAGAAATACGTCCATTTGGACCGCGTTAAGCGGAAAGGAACCAAGCCACATCAGCTATTGTCAAATTTATCTAGTAGCTAAATGGGACTTTCGCGATTAGGAACTAAATTTTTTGACTCGTGTTAAAATAGCATAAATAGATATACCGTAAAGTATTGCTTAAGCAGGTAGGTGCTTTTGTGGGTGAGCTTTCAATTGTAGTTCCTAGTTGCAAAATTTAGTCCAATTTTTCGTCCTTTCGACGAAGAAACGTAACTACATCTCAAGTATGCGAAAGAACCTCTCGATCATTACACGCTCACCGGAAAAATGTCGGGAATCCCTTCCTGAAAATTCCCCAGATTTTTTTCTCTAAATGCGCACAAAAATCAATAAGAATTTAGACAGAAATCGCACCGTTATTATATTCCGATAAAATGTTGATTGGTGAAGGTGCTTTAGTGAATGATGGCGGTTAAAGCAGCCACCGAAACGCGTCCTGAAAAATAGCCACTCTTGCGGAAGCTTGAGTTTTTTTCATTAATTGTTTTAAAAAATCTGACTGTATTTGGATTTTTTTTTTGGGTATCATAACCCTGCTTCAATTTTAAGTAAGTACTGTAGGAAAAAGTTGAAGGTCAAAAAGTGAGCCTGTTTTTTACGGACCATATGTTTTGAACATACCTTCAAGACCGTAACGTAAGTAACTGAAATACATAGCCAGTCGAATCAGGATTGGAATATGATCGCTGTCGCCCAAACCGTAAGCAGCCAGCAACATCAAAGGAACGGACAAACATGGACCTACGAATACACTATTCTGGAAAAATAAACAAAATGCAATGTATAGTTGATGGTGTATTATGATGGATCGATAGGTAAAGGAATTCATTTCGAAGGAAAAAGTGTCGGGGGCTATCCCCTAAAATAGTGGTACCACCCCAATTTATTAGATGATGTGGACATTTCTACTTAATTATTTGGAACTAAATTTGAGTTAGTAATCCAATTTGTTTGGGTGCCACAATTATTTCGAAGCGTCCATAGCCTACAATGACCCCTTGCACTTTTATCCCGTGTTGGATCAAACAAATTGCCCTCAATTTTTTATTTCATGATACGTTCTCTTCTTTTAACAGTTGTTTTCGGGTCCTCCCGAAATTGCAGCACTCAGCTGAATAAATAAGATCGATAGAATTATAGCATTTTGGTTGTGGTGTATTTTTCAGAATTTTATTCTTTGGAACAATTTTACATTCATTTTAGTTCAAATCGAGCGAACTATTCTAGGAAATGCAATAGTTCGGGTGGTATGAGCTTAAAAAACCAAGCAAGAGAGAAACTAAGGATTCTCGTCCATTCATAAATACTCATTTCGATATCCGACGGACACATTTTTAGAGGTAAAATGAAAATATGGTCACCAATTTAGAGACGCAAATCTGAGAAATGTTCTATCATTTTCCATTTAGAAAAGACGACTGACCATTATTTCTCCGTTTAAAGGAACAAAGGAATCCATGAATTATCGAAATATTTCCTATTGGACGGTTTCTATCGAAAGGACGCATTTTAATACTTACTACAATACTCAGTCTAGATGATATCGTTAATGCCATTCCCTCCGACGTAATGGCAATGAGGTAGCAAATGGCGGCGAACTTCAACCCTCGAGACCATTCCATTGGTTGGTCTGTTAAAAAGTAGGCTAACACTATATACACTGTTGACAGCATCATCTGGAAAAGAAAACAAAAAACTCAAAGATCCTCTATGGCGTGGATTTAATAGCCGATGTTAGGAACTGTATTTGAATGCTTTACATAATACAAATGTGTCGAAGTCTAATTATAGGGTTAAAACCCGGAGGTACTTAATTACATCTCGACTTAATTGCATTTGCGATTCGGCGTTGTAAAATTGAATTCAACATTTTATTTAACATCACCCTAGAAAAGTGAATTATTTATTCTAAAAATTATATAAATTGTCTTCGCACTTGGACGAAAGTTATCTAAAACTCTCACTGTAAAACATAAATTCATAATATAAATGATATTATTTAAAACATAAATAATAATTAAATGCTGAAAAATAATACCCATGGATTAATACGAAAATTTTAGCAACATTGCAATACAATTGGTCCCATCTCAATTTTTCTTGTCTTTATCAGAGCTTTGAGACGTAATTTCCCGAGATTTTTCAATGTTCCTAAACGGTATTCTAGCTTATACTCAAATGAAACCAGAAAAAATATGTCTTTTCCAGTTTTTTAGCTTATTTTTTGCATCGATTCACTTATCTCCTTCAACGGCTAAGGGTACGTTAAGAGGCATTTTACTAGTTTCATAGAAGGAACTTACCTGCAGAGGAATTCTTGAGAAGATCATGGCGAAAAAGTAAGCATTTAGGCTGTACCATCGATTAAAATACTCTCGTTTTAATAGCTGAACCTCCTGCGGAACTGGAAATATAAGAATAGAGATAGGATAGAGATAAGAATATAGAAATTAGCTTAGTTTAGCTACTTAATTTACGACGATCAGCAACGGACCAGATATTTATTTTTAATTTAATTTTTTACGTCGGGGACCAGAAAACTTTAAATGTTTAAGTAAACTAATATACATATGATTTACATATGTTCAGTGTAATTTTTAAAGAGGAAACTGGTCTAAGTTCTGACTTCTGAGACTCCAAAATAACCAGTAAAAATCCTAGAAATTTGTGGATTCCCTTAACTAATGTTATGAGGTGGCGGGCAGTACTCTGCCGTGCTAAGGAAAAAAACCTCCAGGCGTTGCCAAATTTCCTTTGATAAAACACAGATTTTCTGGTAAACCTGTGGATCTTCTCCTTCCAATTTTTCAGATGATTTGGTTCACAATTTTAACAAAAGTTTCTGAACATTTAAAGGCAAATTATCCATAGCGTTCCTCAAAAATGAACATTTTATCGGAGGAAATTTGGCAACTCTCGAATGTTCATACGGCGTTCTTCCTTAGCATGGCAGCACTGCAAGAATCAAGATGATAGAGCCTCTTCACTTCTTCTTTTTTTTTTACACATAATCTCTTAAACACAAAGGGTGCGTGCGAACACGACTGGTGGTGAGTAGCTTTATCGCCTCAGTTTGGATATGGAAATGTGCTGAGTATGATTTCCAGAGCAACTACTCGCGCATAATGTACGTGGCGTTCTGTTCTTTAGGATCCGCACAAGACAGACCGCCACTCAACCCTTGGCGAAGGCCGTGAGAGCCTGAACTCCTGAAGTATCAAAACGCCTTCACTTCGTGCGCATGCAACACGGACATCCATCAAGCACGAATAGTTGTATCACTGCGCCGTCGTCATCGCCCGTCATTTCCCTTACCCGATACTAATTCCACGTTGTGTTGGATCCATTTATCTTATGTGTAGTGGTGCTTCAACGGCTACGTGAGCAACACAACCGAGGATAATAGAGTCGTAATCGGGCCTCGTTTTTTTTTTCCTCATCATCCGAATCTGAGGGACACTTCATTGGCAGATTAGAACATCTGCGTTTTTTCTGATTCCCTGTACCTCACCTTGTCTGTCTATGGAGACATTATGAAATAACGTGGCATAGTGAAGTTTCAATTATGGTTTTGTATAAATTACGTTTAAATTTAAAATGACTTACAATGTAGTAGGACTGGCAGCATAGGTATGTACAGAAACACGATGATAGTGACGAAACAGAATCCAAAATTAAAAATCGTTTTCGAGCCATCGTTACCCATTTGGAAGAACATTCCTCCAATGATGAGACTGACAAAAACGAACATCACAGCTTTCAGCAATAAATAACCCTGTCAAATAAAACGATTACATCCGTTTAAACAACTGACTTGACCTCTTAACTATATAAAAAGGATTATTAAGAAGCAAAAATTCGTTCAATATTGATATTCTTCCCCTTCAAGCTATGTTCGAGTTCGAGTATTGTTCGAGTTCGGTTTAAAGTTCGACATTTACCAAAAGGCCTGGGTAAGTGGTGTGGTATTGAGATTGTTTTGCCATCCAAGATTTCAATACTGAGGGCCGAGCGCTAAGCTTTGAAAAAAGGCGTCATGTTTGTAGCACCTTGAATAATTGAAGGAGAAATATGGGATGGCTGAACTAACTCACTTAGTTACCTGCAATTTGGAGACGTGTGAAACCAAAGAATATGATTATCATATAGGTTATAGAATTCAATTTATAGGGACAAGAAGCAGCTCTTATGTTCAGTTTTTCTTTAGGTTTCCATTAAATGAAAGATTTTTGGGACAAGCCGAAATGAAGAAGAACTTACTTTATTCCGTCGATGTTGCAAAATCATCCGGTTGAGTAAAATAAGAAACTGGCTCCAGCTAGAGCTATCAAAATCGTAAAGATGTTTCGAATGGGATTCGTAAGTTTTCCTTGGCCCTCTATCATCTCTACCTGTAACATCAATTAGTTAATGGTTAAATTATATAATCGTCCTTACAGGACGGTTTTTTCAACGTTACACTAAGAATGTTTCATTTTTTTCAGGAGGTTTCGTTAAATTTCTTAACTTTCAACGATATCTTTAGAGATAGCAAATGAATATCTTGTAGTTTTTTTATTGATACCTGTATACACATTCAAATTATTCCGTCGATGTTAAAATAAATAGAGGATTGCAGATTGATTGATGGGTAAAATAAATTGAAGATGGTAGTTACCTAAAGGCCTTCGAATTGAGGAACTTTGATTTTCTTGATTCCATCGGAAGCAACGCCCGTTGTCGACAGTTTTAGATAACTTCTCCGTAAAGTTACCATACTCTCCACTCGAAACTTCGATCACTAGAAAAAAACAGCAGAGTAAAGTTTCAAAAGACTAGAATATTTCTATGAGGAATTCAGATTGAGCTTGTTGAGGCTGTTTAAATAACATAAGTACATTTAGAGAAACATTATAGCTGTTTGTAGCCACCAACAGCCAGCCAGGCTGTTGTATCTTACGATCAGACTCACGAGTAAGTTGACTGAATACAAGACTTTCATCATATTATAATTGAGAGGTTTGGAGGACAAGATGCATGACTGCAGTTTTTGCTCTTTCAAGAAATAAGGTTTTAAATTAATTTTAGAAATCACACAAAGCCCTCCGGCGGGAAGAAAGATGAAACTCCCTCTTTTTTATGCTTAAAAATTGAATTTTAGTGGTGAGTTTTAGGACTATTGTTTAAGGTAAAATCATACATTTCACAATATTATTTTTCAAAAAGTGCAATTGTCTTCCACGCGCTTCAGTTATATGATGACAGTAATTTTGATACACAATTAAAATTAAAGTCAAGTTTAATTTTAATGGTGTATCTAAATTACTGTACTGCGCATCCATACTTTTGCACGACTAAAGAACCCATGAATGACAAAGAACCAAAATAATTCGTAAAACTAAAAAATGTGTGTGTGAACCGTCGAGTGAACTGAAAATAAGTAAGTTTGATCTTCAATCATTTTAAGGTATTAAAATTAAATCAATTTTTCACAACAAGATTCGCACCACAAGCAAACGTAATATTTGTCCACATTTCAACGTTTGCTACGTTTCTTCTTCTTCGAGGTACCTTGATGGAAATAAATAGCAGGCACGTAGCCAGGGAATTTTTGCGGGAGGGTGTGGCCGCGGATGAAGGGATAATGGGCACCCCCAGTTCCACCGTCTTTTCTTCCTTTATTTTTTTATTTCGAGGGTGGGGGGAGAGCCCCCTTTTAGCTTCATGCCCGATGATTGGGATGTAGAGAGGGATTTTAGATGGATCTTTACATAGAGTAAAATCTTAAAGAAACATTTGTACACTTAGAACTTTGCAGAGGGTCCAATTTCTTTCTATTTTTCCCTGAACGAGACGATTTTAAAACAATCAAGAATCAAGATTTCGACTGAAACTGGAGCATATTTTCAATGCCATTCCTAGCGAAGGGGTTCAAAAACCTCCTATGGGTATCTGCGTGGATAATTATATCACGCAACGGTGTTCGGATCACCACCTCACGCTTGTCCACGTCCATTGCTCAAGATTTATGCTCGATATTACTTTAATTATCAAACCCGCCTGTCATAAAAAGATATATCTTGATAATTGCGGACACCCGTTTTTTTTCTTTTTTTTTTTTTCATTTTTTATTTTCTTACAATTTCTCAACTTGTTACACAAAGCACAATATCTGCTAAATTCTTGACGTTTCAAATGCACAGCAAAGTCCCGTAAATTGGGAGAGCATCAAATAAATTTAATTTTTCTGGAAAGAAAAGGAAGAAAAAATAAACACAAGCAGACAATAAGAAAATATTCATAAGATATTACACATACGAGCCCTTCATTAGGATTCATTTCTTGCATGGGGTTGAGATCTCTTATTTCGCGATTTTCTTAGGTAAACGAATACTTTGTCCGATAAAGCATTGGCAGTTCAAGCACCTCTTGCTCTAACCTATTCATCGAATCAGAGATGCAGTAAACTATGACATTATATTTATTCATTTTTCATGATCTCCACTGAAGAGAAAGATGTAATTCTGTACCTTCCACCTATTTATGCTAAAAGAAACTACGTGGAAATGAATTACATCGGAAGGAGCTATATGTATCACGTGAACTAAATACACATAGTTCCATTTAATTTTACTCATGTTCACTTAGTGTCTTATAGCATGGATACGGTCAATGGTCGAATAAATAATCTCTATTATATAGCTATAAAAGTTGATTACTGCTACGGATTGGCATTTTGCGCGGCACAAAAATAACTTGAAAACGCAGTTTTGTATAGTAAAGTTTTCTCTCTAAGTACATTTTATTGCCAAATTTGGCTGACTAAGCTGTATCATGGTAATTGATTAAAAATAATTACATTTCCTCTCTAAGCTTGTCTACCACATTGGCATGGTTTTGATATTTTTTCCATTCTCAATTTCCCAGATTTTCCCTAACTTTAAAAGTTTTCAAGACCACCGGAAACTCTGCCTCACTCTCTGTCTTACATTTCGTTTTCCTCATTGTTAGAGTGGCGAATTTGAGCGATCGAGATCATTCTTCTGAAATTCCGCAGTGGTTCTTTGCTGAAGCCTCATACAATTTGATTGCCGATCTCAACACAGTTTTCTCATAGTTTTGCGTCAGAACATCATGTTTTTCAGCAGAATCGAGGCGTGACTGATCGATTATCGATAATTCTCCATTAGAAGCTGTAGTGAAGAATCGATTATTAAGGTATTCCTCGCGAACACCCTATTTATCGATCCTTTTGCATAGGTTTAAATGGTAGATCAATCGATACATCGCAAAGCACGTCACGCCACTATTTTTCAAATAAATATAAGTAGCAACTGCAATTGAATTGCACTTTTTAACTACAGTGTAGTTTTATTTCGCTTTTATAGTCCAGCCTCGCTTACGTCAGGCAATCTATTCATTTTTACAAAGTTACTCGATATAAGACACTTACAACTGCTCTTAATGATGACTGTCATTTATTAGTGTGACTTTTAATGCAGCTTCAAGAGATTCTTGCAAGTGCTTCCTTTTTTCAAGCCCTTCTCGTGACGATCTTGAAAATCCGTACGTATTCATGTCTTACACATCGACTGCTGAAGTTAAAAAGTGCGTATCGTAATTGAAACGTGTAAAAATCTCAATTTCTGACTCAGCATTATTTTTAACCTTAGGTCTCCATGAGATTACTAGGGGGCTAGGCCCCCTGGCCGCTACTCGGCCGAACATCTGGAGGGCGCTGTGCGCTCTCTTACGTTCAAAATCTCTCGTTTATTTCAATTTTCTGCCAATTTTGAAATTGCCGCCACTTCTCATGGGTGAAAATTTCAAATTTTGCTTATCGCCCCTTAGGTCCGACACAGCACAGGCGAGACTTTCATAAGCTGCCCTGCGCCGTCGGCAGCGAGCATGGCGCACGACCTGCTTTTCATCATTACACTTCATCTAGAGTTAACAGTTCACTTATTACATCACACGACTAGTGTCTAATTTTGAAAGTCGAATATTAAAAAAAAATTGAAAAAAAAAAACAAAAAATACACGATGTACGAGTTTCTCCGCCAAGGAGCGCTCCCCGCTAGAAATCGGTCACCACCCGCCCGTCGGGGACACCGCAAGCCGAAACTTGCACTGACGCCTACAAACCTAAAGGGCTACCTCACGCATTGCGCAATGCTTGAAGTATCTCCTTAGGTTTGTAAGGGGCTACTCCACGCATTGCGCAATCCTTGAAGTATCCCTTTAGGTTTGTAGGCGTCGGTGCGCTTTTCAATTTCAAGCTGGCAGCGGCAGCACGCCGCACCGCAGCGTGCTATAAACTTGCCCACAATTAATAGGTCAGGGTGTTAAAATGTAGCCAATTGACATCAAATTCGAATTTAGCCGCTCAAAAACGACTACGAAACTTACGTGATCTTTCAGGTTTTATCCGACTTATTTCTTCCCATTCTCTAGTTTTTGACTATGGTGTGCCGCAGGCGGCGGCGCTCATGAAATTCCCCCTGTGCTCAATCACCTTAGGTCGCTTAGCTCCCCGCTCTACCCTAATATAAAAAACGTGAGTCACATTTCCAAAACCTGAATAAAGTGGTCTCATGCAGGGACTATCACCTGTCGATGAACGCAAAAATCATGAAAATCGGGCCAGTAGAACGCTAGAACTAAACGTTACCAAAAATGAAAATTTAGGAGGCTTCAGAGCTTATATTTTAGGAGTGGCCCTTACTCTTCCTGTGTTTTACTTACTGAAGTCGGCGGGGTTGTAGTGTTTTGGGCAGTACAAGTCGTGCTGCGCCAAGAAAGGAACGATGTGCTGATTTTGGCCGGCAAAGACGCACTGGCCCTCTGAGACGATGTAGACATGGTCGAACATGGCGAAGAGCCTCGCCGAGGGTGTGTGTATCGAGCAGATCACGGTTCGACCCTCCGCCGCCAGCGCCTTCATCAGCGTGATACACTGCGC